GGGAATGTTCTGTGTGAGTGGCATAACATTACACCTGGCACCACTATTCATTAGGTAAAAGACACTGCCATCATATCATCCAATGCCTGCTAGATGTGGAATGTTTTCATTTTTTAAAAATAAGAAACAGCTTTAAACTAGCTTGAGACACCTGGAGATATATTTTGTAAGGCACATCTGCAGTTTTGCTTTGGCAGAAGCCCTAGTACATATCCTTAACAAATCCATGGTAAAACTTGAAAGGTCTTTATTACTTCTCTACAATAGAGTTGGTCAATTGTGAAAAGTCAATGAGGCAAATCAGCATCTGTTTTCAAAATGGTCACAATTCCTGTAGAATATTCCACCAGCAGAGAAGATACACATGGGGAAAGCTACTTTTAAGAGATCCGCAGCTTCCAACTCCTATACCCTGGGCTTGGGAGAGAATAGATTTGGTTCTTGGTGACAATGGAATTAGAAAACTGTCAAGAAGAGTGTTGTGAGAATAGTTAAGAGTTTGTAACTAGTGGATTTACTACTCTGCCCACATTAACTGCTACTTTGTGCTTTAAAGAATAATTTACCTGAGTAACAGAAATAATTGGCTTGGATTCTGGATTCAATACTTAGAGGAAAACAGGATATAAATTATATAAACTAAAAGAATCCAGTAATTGCTTTCTGCCAGTAGGTAAAAGCTATGTAACTTACTCTGTATTAGCTATCACAATATTAAAACACTGCTTCAGGAACTGGTAAACTGTGCTTCCTCTGTTGGGGCACCTCCAAAAGGTAAAGGCAAGACATTATTACTTATTTATTTATATTCCACTTTTCTCTCCCATCGGGGATTCAAAGCAACTAACGGCAAGTTATTAAACATACAGTTCCATTAGGACAAAAAGGAAATAGACATAATCAATAACAACAATTAAAGCACAATAAGACAATTAAACCATAATAAAACAACATTGCAGATTAAAATACAATCAGCACTTTAGATATAATTAAACAATAAATAAACATAAACTGAAGCCATTATTTTCCCCATTGCCACTTGTCAATAAGGTGTTGCACAGAAAGGTTCAGCCCCAGATGTTACTATGATGCCTATTGCTCTTGTATCTTCATTAAAGGCCTGGTTCCAGAGAACAGTTTTTATCTGATGAAGGAATGTTAGTAGGGAGGGGGCCATTCTGATGTCTTTCAGAAGGGAGTTCCAGTTCCAGAGCTGCGGAGCAACCCCTGAGAAGGCCCTTTCTCATTCCCAGCAATAATATTTGTGACTGTTCATAGAGGGAGATGCAGTCTCAAGTAGACTGGGCCCAAGTATATGGCTTTATAGGTTAAGACCAGCACTTTGTATTTCGCCCAGAAGCTGACTGGTAGCCAGTGTAGTTGTTTTATTGAACAGAAGGTATTGTTCTTTGGAAGGAGAAAAAGGTCTGTACTCTGTTAGTAGGTAATCATAAATATACTTTTCAAACTGAGCATTTAACAGCATGGTGATAGTAGTTGAGGGTATTAAACAGCACAGGTATTAAACAGCAACAGGGTATTAAGGACTTGTGGATTTTGCTAGCTATATAAAATAATGTGCCCTCTAGAGCCAGGTGTTTTATGCCAGTGTCTATGAAAATTTGGCAGGGATGGCACCCCAGAATCAAACACATAATAATAAATGTAAGACAGGATCTAATAGATAAACTTCAAATGTTACGTCATTGACTATATTAAAAAGAAGATATTTAAAATTAATCAAAACATTTTTTCACAAAAAGTTTTAAACTGCTTGACATCCAGTGTACAAGACTGATTTAAAGATAAAAATAGTTCTGTATTTTGAATATGAATTATGTATGTTTTTCAAAGTGTAAAAAACATTGTGTTTGTGTCTGCTGTTGGACTACAAAGTTCAGCTTGTTTACTACATAGCAGTTTCTTCTAGAATAAGGTTTACAATTTACTACAACTAGATGTATTAACCAGTTTACGGTTTTCTTATGATCTGGGTACAGAATTTTACAACGGATACCCAAACACTTTTGTCATGTCTGGATAAAATACATGTATACAAATGGCTATTGAAAGTGATCCACATTAATTTTTGCTGTTTTATGTGTCTGTAGCAACCCCTGTTAAAATATCATTGAAATGATTCCTGAGGAATCTTAGATTGAATCCATACTAGAAAATGTTCATTTATATTACCTATCTGTTTGTAATTACTCAGTTATTTATAAAGGATTTTTAAAACATCTTTGAATGTTCACTGAAGAGTTGAGACATATTCTGCTAAATCTTCCATGCTCTAATTTGGCTGAAATGTAGTGTTCAGGAAGGGATTTCTGTATTGATTTAACTTCTAGTCACTTCCATTGATGGTCTATGCACACATCTGAGTTTTCCCTCTCCTTCTGTACTTTAGGTACTTTAAAGCAAGAGCTGAACCTTTCGATCAACTGTTTCTTTGTTTGTTTGTTTCCGAGAGGCAAGGAAGTGCAACCAAAAGGAGAGTGATAATTTTTCATTTCAACAATAGGGACTCACCAGTATAAATGGTAGCTCATGGTTGGACCAACTGTGGCCCTCCAGATTTTTTTTTAGTCTACATTTCCTATCAAACTAACCAGCATAGACAATGGTAAGGAATTATTGGAGGTTTAATCCAGAAACAAGTGGGGAGTTAGAGATGCCCATCCCTACCATATTTTCTTTTGAGTTTACCGTAGTTACACCTCCATTGTTGTCTAGCTGGAGATCTCCTCTTTCATAATATGCCTTTGGAACAATGCTACATCCAGAACAATACTTACAGAATTAAAGGAAGGTGATCTTCTCATTTCAGTCCCTTTAGTATGCAGTTATTACAGTTGAAAAATATAATTGTGGCCCGTGGTTCTATTCCTGATCCCAGCAAGTCTCCTGCTTGACTTTCCATCATGAATGCACAGAACTGAGTCAGTGTTTTCGTATTGGGTTTTGTTTCAGTGGGAAAGCCTCTTTTCCCCAGATGACCAGGAGCAGATGAAATCCCTTTCCCTAGTCACTAGTGCCCAGATGAAAATCCTTCATTTTCTTCTTTGGGACTGATAAACTACTGTTCACATCTACGTGAAGCAGCAAAGTGTGCTTGGGCCATTGTTGAGTAAAGTCTGGCCACCATTTTTGTCACTAACATCCTGCACAACATAATGGTGGATGGGCATTTTGCTAATTTTAGAGCTGAACTAGTTTTTGATCTGCCAGTATAGTATTGTTCATGACATTCTATAAAGACTATGAGAGACTAGGGTTCAAATCCAACCCCCCCCCCCCCCCCCCCCCAAAAAAAAAAAAGGCCAGGTTGCACTCTCTCAAACTCAGAAGAAGGGAACAATGAACAAATTGTATCACGAAAACTCCATGAAAGATTCATCTTAGGGTTGGAAATGAAGGTACACAACAACAAACCTTTTTCATTGTTTGACAATTTCCAATTTCCAAACAATGGGCTATGTTTTAGAAGGGGAAACAAATAACCCTTTTAGTATTCTTGCCTAAGAAAGGCCTATGAAATTCATGGGGTCACAATTTGTCAACAAGACAACGTTGAAAGTGCAGGATTGTTGTGGAAACAAGGATTAGCAAGAAAGCTTCAGTGGAGACCTCTTTTCCCCATGATAACTCAGGAGGAAATTTCCCTTCATAGAGGTAAATTTCTCTCACTTCCAGTTGTCTCCCTCCCATTTGTAACTATGAGTCGTTTGTAAGTTGGATGTTTGTAACTCGGGGACTGCCTGTACATCTAGATGTATACCTATATAAGTGCTAAAAATATTGGTCACTGCTGTCAGGTCCTAGTACCAAGTTTAATATCAATATGCTAGTACCAGATGTCCATTTATTTGCAATTGACAGAACTTTTCAAAACTGGGTCAAGTTGTGTAATATGATTACACCATGTAACAAACTTTGAAAATGTTTCGGTTCCTGGTTTGAAAGCATTATTTCCTGTTTCAATGTGCAGTACTTACTTTGAAAGTAGCTGTTATACTGTTTTTGTGGCTGCCACAAACTGTGTTGAATTGCTTGAGTCTCTATGAGATATTCATTGAAAAACTATAGCAAAATGTACTGCACGATGTCCTGCAAAAACAAAGTTTTTGCAGCTTAATAAACTCTTCCATGTTTTTATGATAGAACCAATTAGGAAATGGCATTTATAACCCAAGAATAACAATCATGTTACATATGGTTATTGTTTCCAGTGTTCTTTTTATTTTATAGGAAAATTAATGCATTTTTCTTATTTATTTGTTCATTACAATGTTATTGAGTTTGCCAGATGTTAGTTTTACTTTAATTTTTAATTGCATATTTAGAAACATACATATTAACTTCTGAATTGACTTGAAGGTGAAAAAATATGATCTTGTCTGTTAGGACATAGGTGACAAATGGGCAACTTGCATCCTCTGAGAGATTGCTATAGCGTTTACTAACATAAGTATCTGGGTTTTTCAAACTAAATTTTTCAGACCTCAGGGATTCATGGGTAATGCGAGTAAGGTAGACATTATTTTGTCCTCAATGTTTAGCTAGTATCCAACTTTGCTACATCAATTAGATATAGTTTTGATTAGATATAGTTTTGAAATTAGATATAGTTTTGAAAGCTGCTACCAAATTTAATATATCCTTTCGCACTTGAAACACGTACTTCCTGAAATTGGTGCTTTGGAACTGAGATTATTTAGTCAGACAAATAGACTGCATGTTTAAAAACAACAGAAGAAAGTTTTAAAATGGGTTAATATAGGGAAAAATATGAAAACATACCACACATACCTAAGCAAATATATGGGAAAATATATGGACTTCAGTATTGATGTGTGTGGCGTGTGTATGTATGCATGTAAAAACAGTTATAATAAAAGCAGTAAAGTAACCATTTGAAGGAGCATTTGTTGTAGATGGGCTTCTTGCTTGGTTGATGGCATTAACACTTTCCCTTTTAACAAATCTTGTAACTGCAGCTGGCTTTAGGAGAAGTTTTCGGCTAAGCAGAAAAGATAGAAAAACAAACAAGACCATGTATGAGTGCAAGAAGAGTGACCAATATGATACGGCAGATGTCCCAACCTATGAAGAAGTAGCAAAGTATAAACGACAACCAAATGAAAAATATCGATTAGTAGTCTTGGTTGGTAAGTTTTATTTCTGACTTAGGAAGTTAGGTCAAATGTGATGATGGCACTTTTAGTATATTGTGACATTATTTGGAGTTTTATGCCAGTTTAGTCAAGTTAAATTGGTATTTTTATTACATTTTAAAACTTGAAAACACTGTCGATGTCATAAATGCTCCCTACCAACTGAATCATTGTTTGATTTGCCATGATTTACTTCTGATCTTCTGTTTTTCAAAATATTGCAAACTGCTTACAAAAGTAAAAGCAACTATTTTTCAGATTACAGTGAGATAATGGAAGAGTAGTACATAGATTGCAGCAATCAAGGTGGAAAATGACCAAAGCATGAATTCAGGTCTTAGCAGAGGAAGCAGAAAGAAAATGTCCTATTTTTGACATTACTATAAAGGAAGCATCAATATGAGTTTGCTACAGCATTAATGTGAGGAACAAAAGGCAAAGAAGAGTAAAAAAATAAAGCAAATACTACATGCCTCCTTCACAGGATAAGTGGGGACATTATTAATAGTGATGTAGAATGCATGTTGTAAGGAAGATTCTGGATGAAAAAGAAGCAGTTCTGTCTTTGCCATGTTACCTTTTAGGCAACATGTGGAGCCCCAGCCAAAATGTTGACCTCTAGCTACCTCATTAAATGACTGACCTGAGAAATAAGACATGAACCAGTAGAAGACTGAATCAGCAAACTCTAGGTCATGAATTGAATCTAACAAAAGAGCATGATCAGCTGTCTCAAGGGCTTCAGAGAGATCAAGGAGAGTAAGGCCTGAATAGGTCTTTTGACTTGGCCTCAGCGAGGTAATCTGTAATTTTTATTGAGATCTGCAAAGGGCAAAATCCACATTTGAAGGGCTATATTACAGAATTATGAGAAAGTCAAGGTAACTTTCCCATCGTGGTCAACTGTGAATACGCACATATAGTAGTTTCTGCGCCTGAGCAGACAGCTTCGGAACCTTCTAGATATATTTGAAAATCTAGAAAGATTAAATAATCTTTTAATACACATCTGAAAATAAGGGTTAGGCCCAGAGGATCTTTATGGCCTATCTCATTACAGCCTATCTCATTGTCTTCCATTCAGAATAGTTAATTGCAGATCTGCCATCTACGTATAGAGATTTTTTTAAATAAGATCTTTGGTCTGTACTTGAATACCTATATTAGAAGAAAGGCAGTATTTTTTTAAAAAAAAACCCCAAATAACATAAAAATAAAAGCTTCTGTGCTAATGCTGGAAAGGCAGGGAAGTTCATTAGTTTTGCTTTCATTATCCCTTTACTAAGCCATTTTTTCTGCTATTTCTATGACTCAAGGATTATGTTCTTTATCAGTAGCCAATAATAATATCCATAAATTCTGAAGCTAAGCAGTATATGAAATTAATTCAGAGCCCGCAATGTGCTTTCTTTTTCCCTGGAAGTATGCTACCATAACTAAGTGGGGGCAATGGGAGCTACTAGGCTAAAGTTGCAGATGAGCTCAGGCAGTATTCTGTTTAATAATTCAACTAAATAGACATTGAAGCTTATTCCAAGCAAGAAAGAGATACTTCTGGTCAATCTAATGGTAGATCTGGAAATAGGCATTCAACCTGTTTTAATACACCCAAAATGGGGTTACCTTTTGAATAAAGTTTGGGAACTTCCAACTTGTCTCAAAGAACTACAGTTGCAGCCAGATGGTAGACTGGAGCTGGTTGTAGGATTCACACAATAAATTCACTAGTTACAGTAGTTTAACTGACTTATAATAGGAGAGAACAAGGGAAAAGACCTTCTCGGTGACTGGTCTTCAACTTTGGAACTCGTTTCCTGAGGACATTAATCTGATTACCTCCTTGCTGTGTTTCCATTGGCAGCAAAAACTTCGTAAGTCTTACAGGCTTTTGGAAATTAGTCTACAAGGGCGTTTAATACTATGCTGTTCATTTTTTAAAGATAGATTTTAAATTATGTTCACTCTATATATAGTTTAATTACATTTTAATCATTTATATTTTACTGCATTTTAAATTTTACAAGGTACTTTGAGCACCAGTTTTAGGGAAGGAGACAAGATGACTATAAAGTAGCAACAGCAGTGAATATTCTTAGACTCAGAATATTAGACTCAGGATTAGTCACCAATAGAAAAAGGGGATACATAAATTAGGGGGTTCTTAGATTTAGTCATTAGCCTTGTATCATTTCTGAGGCCTGTTGTGCTTTCTTACTCATAAAAGCATTTGTCTTTGTGATTTTTTTTTTGTAAACTCAACTTTTTCTACTTGTAGCACTATATTTTTGCTTCTTTTGCACTAGTATGTAGGTCACCGCTTCATTAATAGTATGTCTTCCGTTATTAAAAAAATGCAGACCAGAAGAAATATAACCCTCTATCAGGGACTGTTATGAACTGTAGAACTGCTGTTTTATATAGCTCATATCCAAGGGAACACTTAAAATCAGTTTTTAATAAACAGCTTTCTCATTCTGTAATGCATAAGTTCAGGCACTTACTACTGTGAGCGAGAGATTGTGGCTTCTACACAGCAAGTAATAACATGGTTGAGTTGATTTTACACCTATATCAACAGAGTTCTGTGAAATGTGTGATAAGTAGAGTTCTTATAACAAATCACATATGCTGGCTCTGAGGAATATCTAGAAATTTCATTTTATTTTTGTGGTAATAAATCAAGTGAAGAAAGTGTGCTTTTACAGTAACAAAAGCAGCTCACAAATTTATTGCAGACTTCAGTAATTTTGATGTTTCTCTCTTGGTATTAGAAGCAGCTTAAGTCTGGCCAATGTCATAAAAATGTCTTAGTTAAAATGTGGAAAAACTGGCACTGCTGATATAAGTGCAGCAGAAATGGTCAGATTTTAAAGCTTTATGTATGCTAGTAGCAGCATCCAGTATGATGTGTGAAATACAATTTTAATGTTAGCGCCAGGAAACACAAGGACAAATAATTAAATTTTCACATAATTGGTTGTGGCAAGAAATGTTCAGCTTTAGCAAGTGAAAGCACAAATTAGTGTTGGAACCTAGTTTTAAAAATGATTGCTTTTTAACTTTAAAAATATATATTTATTTTAGTTCACAGATTATAAACTCCCTATAACAAAAAACCTAAAGCTCCTTGTTCCTTTTTATGATTGTTGTTATTCATTTGATGGTAGGCTTAGCCAAAATATCAGATTCAGTCTCCAGAAAGATTATGTCTGATTTTTGTCTGTGCTCTTCAGTAAGTGCAACTGCTCTCAAGGTTTGGTGACTTTATTCTTGATAAGCTATTTATTTATCCTATCAGAAGCAAACCGAGGGCCCAGTTGTAATGTATTTCAAAAACTCAAATTTTAAAAAACTTGGCATTATACTAAATGTCCTTTGACCAGTAGCTGGCCACTTGCTATAAGTAGCTCCTCCATTGTGCATTTGGCAGGGCTCAGACTGCATTGTTAAGCTTACTTCTGTTTATGTTCTTATTGCAGCCTTCTTCAAATTGATGCCATGAAGGCTGGGGGTGATGGGAGTTGTATGTCATATGTATCTGGATGTGACTAGGTTTGAACAGATTGTTCTGTTGTTTTAAGTGGATCTCTGCTCTGGCCAGAGAGAAGACAGAAGGGAGCAGAAGACACTTCCATCTTGTCTTCTGCCTATATCATCACTTAAGAGGCCCCTCCCCCTTCTGGCACCAACGGCTGCTCTGGCCAGAGAGAAGACAGAGGGGAGCAGAAGACATTTCCATCTTGTCTTTACTAATAATATAATATAGTATATTGTATATACATATAATATTTATAATATTATAATGTAATACAATATAATACTAGTAATAATAATTCAATATTATAATTATAATTATATATTTACATTACATGTAATATTACTAATAATATTACAATATAATGGTATAGTGCAATATAGTAATATATACTGATATTGTACTATGCTAATAATATAATATATTGTATGAAAATATATATTGTAAGCCGCTCTGAGTCCCCTTCAGAGTGAGAAGGGCGGCATGTAAATGCTGTAAATAAATAAATCTGTCCTCTCTGGTCCACACTATAATAATTTATTGGATGCTGTGATATATATCGCTTCTCGGCCTTTTGGCTAAGATCAAGTGTAGATGCTGTGATATCTTTCCTGTTAAATCCCAATGTGGCATTCCTCTTCTTCATCCATGAAAAGCTTTTTCCTATCTTTTATTCTTAGCTTTATCTCCATGGCTTTCTTTTTTACATTTCCAATTATATAGTTACTCATATAGTTTGTCGTTTGCACAGAAACACATTTTATTTCTATCTAAACTGAACCCATAATTTAATCTGTCTTTTGCCATTTTTTTGTTTAGAAACAGGACCAGTCACAGCTCCAACTAGTATACATATAATTGTCGGAGGGAATTGTAGCTGTGGGTGATATGGTAACCTTTTGGAGAAATAGGTTGGTTATAACAATAAGGACCTTTTACTGGGATTAAAAGGAAAGAATGATAAAGTAGGCTGTTGAAAAAAATTCTGGCAGGATTGATAATTTCTTTAAGAGGAATGCAGATATTGTGTATATGTAGCCAGCATTTGTAATCATATCTACCAAGCATGGATAGTAGAAAGGAAAATGCCAATAATTCCCCATTAGATTTACAAAAACAGTCTAATCTCTCGAAAGCAGGTACTTTTAGCACCAGGTATTATAATTACATGCTATTTTACTCAAGAAATGAAAATCTCAGAAGAAATGGGATGGCATTTATAGTGAAGAGAGATGTAGCAACAACAGCCAAAAAAATTCAAGGTCTGATAGAATAATATCAATAAAACTTCATGGAAAACCCATGAATTAAACCATAATTAAAGTTTGTGCTCCACCTACAGAGTCAAAATAAGAAATTGAAAGATTCTTTCTTCAAATTCAGGAGTAAATAGATTACACACCAAAGCAGAACTTCTTGTTAACCTTCGACAATTGGGATGCAAACATACAAAACAGAGCACGATCAAAGTTTGTGTGGGGAAATTTGGCCTAGGATCAAGAAATGAAGCAGGGGAGTGACTGACTGAAATCTGCAAGGCTAATAGTTTGCTCATCTCAAACACATTTTTCAAGCAACTAAAGAGACAACTTTATACGTGGACGTGAATGGATGGCCTATATAGAAATCAAATAGACTGCATTGGAAGCACAAGCTGGAGAAGATCTATTCTTTCTGCAAAAGCAAGACCAGAAGCAAATGGTGGCGTGCAGTACGAACTGCTAATATCAAAAATTAAAGTAAAGCTAAAGACGAATATCAAAACAGCTGTGACAAAATCCGACTTGAAGACCATTCCCATAGAATTTAAAGATAATATAAAAAGATAGATTTGCACTAGTAAGCCTAATTGACTGTATCCCATAATGACTCTGGGAGGAAGCCAGGGACATTGTCAGAGAGGAATGGAAAAAAGACCCCTTTTCCCAGATTCTCGAAGTATTCTCTCCCACACGTTGTCCTCACCATGTAGTATTTAATACACCTGTAATGTTGTCTCTCTTCTGCCTTTTCCTAAACTAAATGTTGCCAAATTTTGTAACTATTAATCAGTTGTTCCAACATCATGTTGATTTCCCTTTTTGGCACTTTTTTCCAATCAGCTTTGCAGTATCCGTTATGATGTGTGGCTCAGCTTTCAGTAATTTCCAAGGTTTAGATTGGAGTTTGATTCTTTTAGGCTCTTCATTTATTTCATAGATGACACAGTGCTAAAGTTTCTCAAGTCCATAGCTCACATAAATTCAAACCTTTGGCAGTTTTCTACATAGTTAATACTGATGCTGTTGGTGATGTTCCAGTACAAATGTTTTTTCTGGTTTTATGTCTCTGGTTCAGCCTTTTTGGTATCTCATCATAAGTAATCAAAGAAGAATAATAGACTAAAATCTGCTTAAATTTCAGGTCCTGTAGGTGTAGGACTAAATGAGCTGAAACGGAAATTGCTAATCAGTGATACTCAGCATTACGGTGTGACAGTGCCACGTAAGTCAAGCCTGCTCTAAAAATGCTTCCTATATCAATAAAGTTTTGTATAACATAAAATTGTGTATTTGTTATGCAAAACAGTTTTAAATGCCTTCAGTGTTACTTACATCTTGATTAAGAGTTTAAACAAATGATCTTTCATCAGCATTTTTTCCCTAGCATAAATGTGATATCACACTTTCTGCGACTACATTTGATATCTTGTATTTTGGAAGCTGAAATACTTATTTTAAATATTTCTAGGAGATCAGGATATTAAACATGTAGGATAGTAGCCTAAAGAGTGGGTGGAATAGAGATGTACAACGTGTGCCAAAACTAGCATAGACAGCAGGAATTTGTTGCCTCCTGGGCAGAATTAGAGTGGCCCAGTGGGCCAGTAAGGTCATAACCAGGTGAAAACTCTTGTTTGTAAACCATTCCACACATCAATAGAAACCATTTCAAGTCATAGGGAAGCACAGACTTACTTCATTTGCAGTAAATGGGAATTTGTCCTGAATTTAATATCCACACTTGGTTAAAAATAATCATTTTGTCAAAACACTTTCTGTAGAATGAAAGCAGTTTGTTGCTAACCAATAATTGTTTACGTTTGTTATCTTTCTGTGGGAAGTTGAGGGAGGCAGAATGTTCTATATGATTTTAGAGTTTGGGTTTCTCTTTCAAAATGAAACACTGATATTAACAATTGTGGCAGTCATGTTCAGAATCATTATTTAGAAATTATAGACAAAGATAAGACAGCTTAACTATAACAACAATCCATAAAATAAAAACATATAAAGCTTAAGCTTTAAATTTTGAGATTAGGAGTAGTCCACGTGCTTTCTCCATTGTCCCTTCTTTGAATGTTGAAACAACTAGAGAGCCAGAGAATGGATGGCCAGGCTTAGACTTGGCCCCACACTGAAAAACTATGTGAGTATACTTCTGTGTGCTCTGAAGAGAATATAAAGATTAAATAAGTCACTGCCCTGAGGTATAAGCAGTCACAGCTTCATCATGCTTAGCCTAGAAGCAGATAAAATCCTTCATCTAGCTCAACTGTGATTACTGTAGCACCGGAGGGAGAGAAGAAGAGGCAGGTGTAGCTCCAGCATTCTTAGGCCTAACAACAGATGAAGAGCCCTCTGTCCATCCCAAATGCCACTGCCCTGTTCTCAGGGGGTGATACTAAGAAACTACCACAGCTTCATTGTGCTCAGGCCCAGGATCAGATGAAGCACCCTCCACCCATCCCAACAGTCACTGAGAAACAAAAGTAGTATCTGCTTGACATAATCATCTCCCACCTCCCTTTTTCATTTATATCATGTCTTAATGAGGTTGTAAGTTTGAGGACACAGAACTTATAAAGCACTATGTGCAGGGATAGCACTATATAAATAACTGAAAATATTAAATAACATCTATACAAGCCCATTCCTGATCACCTGAAAAGGAGTTGGGAGTTCTGATTGTTAGTTTTCTCCCCGTGATTTTTTTAGGTTGAATATCATCTATTTACAACAGTGTGTTGCTCTGTATGTTTAATGCCCAATGGAATAATTTTGTTTCTCTTTATTTGTAACATTCTAAAAATTCTCTCCAATGATATCAGATACAACACGACCAAGAAGAAATCAAGAAAGTGATGGTGTTGAATACACTTTTATTTCAAAGCACCTGTTTGAAACAGATGTACAGAACAACAAGTACGTGGAAACAGGAGCATGTGTGATTTCGATGCTTTGTCATTTATAGATTTACTTCATAGCAATATGGTTCTTATTCTCATTTAAGGATTATTAAAATAATAAATGAAAATTTGATTTAAAAATGTTAAGTGCAGCAGATATTTTGAATCATGCTTTCAGCTTTCAGTAATTTCTGTTGTTTAGCTTATCCTCCCTCCTGTTATGTTACGTTGCATTAGTTTAGGGGAGGAGGATAAACAGCATTAGTGAATTCCTTCTCTCTCGGTATAAATGTACTAAAAACAGGGTTGCCATTTTAAAAAAATAATAAAGTTTTAAAAAACCTGTGGTAGAACTGATATTTATGTAGTTTTATGTTAGGGAGCATTCTGTAAATGTAACAGGAATAAGATCAGTTTTCTATTTCAGGTTTATTGAATACGGGGAATATAAAAACAATTACTATGGCACCAGCATAGACTCAGTTCGATCTGTTTTGGCTAAAAATAAAGTATGTTTGTTGGATGTTCAACCACATGTAAGTAAGCAAAACGTTTTTTTCAGTTTCCTATTTTTAATCCAATGTTGATTTGCATTGCCTGGTTGCAATTTTATGTGAGGAATAATGGCATACTCGTTTCTAATTAAGTAATATTGTGCCATCATTGTATATAGCACTTTACAAGTAAAAAATAACCCAACAAAACAGTTCTCTTCCCTCAAACCTTTAATCTAAAGATATCAGAGTCAAATGTTACTGAAGTGAAGGTGTGTACTTGAGTGTCAAAACCTTCATGCATGGTGCATATGAAAACAGATTTATTTTTGCAGGCTTAATGTGCACTTCCCTATTCAGTTTTGGCATTTTATTGGATTGTCTCTTGAATTTGAATGCATGAACAGAATAACTGATGTTTAATGAGATTTCGTTTTGAATGAAAAAGTTGAAATTTCTCTACACAGTTAAATTTCTGTATACATTATGTTTAATAAAACTGGAGTGAATGCGAGAGAACAATCGTGTCATAGCTGTTAAAAGGGGGAGACTGCCAGATTTCATGTCTTGTCCAAAAGAAACAAAAATTAAATCAAGCCCTTTGAAACTTAACATTTTTTTCTCCAGACAGTGAAGCATTTAAGGACACTAGAATTTAAACCATTTGTCATATTTATAAAGCCTCCTTCAATTGAACGCTTGCGCGAAACAAGAAAAAATGCCAAGATTATTTCAAGCAAGGATGAAAAAGGTGCGGCCAAGCCTTTTCAAGTAAGTGACTCTTGTCTTGCTACAAGTGTGAAAAGTGGCCATAATTATTATAGCTATCAGTGAAAATGGCCACATGTCCATGGAAGTAAGGGCTTCATAATGCAGACAAAGTATGGAAAGCTGAATAAAGGAAGTTGATTTCTCTCTTCCCTCACTTTTCTGGGCTGAGAGGAGGGGGAGATTAACATTTTTTATATGGGAATTTGCCCTGTTAAGCAGGATGAATTAAACCTCTATCCTACAGTGCTCCTCTCTGTTCCATTGCAGTTGATGAGATGATCTTATTCATTTTATGAGTGAATCCCAAGACTTAACTGTATCAGATCTGGGTAAATCTGGCTTTTTGTTTTGTGTCCATCTCCCCAGAACCACATGCTAAATAATGTACCAGGCCAATTGGCAGCAAATATGGATTAGAAAGGAAAACAGGTGAAATAAGCATTGATATACCATCCTCCATGCCCCTCAGTTTCATCAGTCCCTCGGTGGCGCAGTGGGTTAAACCCTTGTGCCAGCAGGACTGAAGACTGACAGGTTGCAGGTTCGAATCCAGGGAGAGTGTGGATGAGCTCCCTCTGTCAGCTCCAGCTCTCCATGCAGGGACATGAGAAAAACCTCCCACAAGGATGGTAGTACATTAAAACATCTGGGTGTCCTCTGGGTAAGGTCTTTGCAGATGGCCAATTCTCTCACAACAGAAGCTACTTGCAGTTTCTCAAGTCGCTCTTGACACGGAAAAAAATCTTCATATTCAAAGTGATGGTGTCTGTGGAAGTTGTTAAGTTGTGTCCTTGGAAATTAGCAGACTACTCTTGGAAAATCCCTCAAAAGATTGCAACTTATTATTTTTCTCCTGTCAATATTAGTCAAAGAACTACAGCAATGCACAGTGTGATATTTTTTCTGAGACATCTTTTGCTATAAATATTGTTTGTCTACAAAACCATTCATTTGGAATACTTGAATTAATGAGACTTTTCAAGACTGGTCTGTTGAGTACATAAATAGTTTATTAATTTGGAAAAATGTAATGTAGCCATACAAGTGTGCTTCTCTTACAATCTTCTGTCTTAATTTTATATAATTAAATTCCATGTTTCCAAAAACATGAATATAAACCTACTGAAAGAGCCCTAGTAAGACCCAGGAATCCAAAAGGAATGATTCTTTGGATTCATACCAAATTTCCAAAAATACAGACTGTGTTCTAGTAAATCCCTTGCTAATAGCAGGCTGAGTCTTAGGTAATGCATTTGGTCAGTACTTCATTAATATAAACAGCTTAAAAAACATTTTCCAGTGCTTTTCTAACATACAGACATTTCTTTAATTATCAGTTAGTATCTAATGGTGCTGATATGCAGAGAAAATCTTAAAAGGTAGGCAGAGTGACACTTTGTAAACAGCTACAAATGATGTGAAATTAAGGGGTATGTGAATTTTGTTATAAATATATCTTTCATTCATTTTAAACGAACTAGTCGCTAAATGTAGTCTTTAGTTTGAAGAGCTTCAGCAAAAATGTCCACTCATCCTTTGGATAGAGGGTATAGATTCCCCCCAACTTTACACTTTGTAAAATGATGGTCAGCAAAGTCTCTAAAGCAGGTTTTTTTTTTTTGGGAAGGACGGGGGATACATAGAATATTTATAGGTCCCTCTGGTGGTGCAGTGGGTTAAACCGCTGAGCTACTGAACTTACTGACCAAAAGGTTGGCATTTTGAATCCGGGGAGCTAAGTGAGCTCCTGCTGTTAGGCCCAGCTTCTGCCAACCTAGCAGTTTGAAAACATGAAAATGTGAGTAGATCAATAAGTACTGCTTCGGCAGGAAGGTAACGGCGTTCCATGTAGTCATGCCGGCCACATGACCTTGGTGGTGTCTACAGACAATGCCGCTCTTTGTCTGAGAAATGGAGATGAGCACCACCTCCGAGTTGGACACGTCTAGACTTAATGTCAGGGGAAACTTACCTTTATCTAGAATATTAGCAGTTTCTCTTTGCTTAAGTAGAATGTGTCAGTATAATTTAATTCAAGCAATTGCACTTGATTCCTTGTTACATGGATTCCTTTGTTTTTACTGTTGACTGATTGCTTCTCTCCATTTTAGGAGGAAGACTTTCAAGAAATGATCAAATCTGCACAGATTATGGAAAGCCAATACAGCCATCTTTTTGACAAAGTTATAGTGAATGATGACCTTACGACAGCTTATAACGAATTGAAAACAACCTTTGACAAACTGGAGAGAGAAGCATTTTGGGTTCCAGTCAGTTGGGTGCATTCATAACATTAAACAAATACAGGTTTCAGAATGTTTTAATAAGGTACTTAGTTGGATCTAAATGAACATTTGTTGGTGCGAACCATTTCTAGCTTTGACAGACGGATGCATTTACAAACTTGGTGCAGTGGAATGTTGACCTTAACTTTTCTGTGTATAAATCTTCCTGTTGGAAATAGGATTTTGGATGCAGAAGATCACAGTGAAGCCTTATTTTTTACCAGGTTGAGTTAAATGCATCTTCAGTTTCAGTGATAGCATTAGTAATTTGTATTTCTCATGGGAAACGTGCTTTGAGTCAGGAGCTGATTAAAGGTCTGAGATCGGTGTTTGTACACATTTTGATAATGGAGGTTTCACACTTAAAACTGGAGGAAGTATACATTTCTTTCACATGAGATTTTTAAAAACTGAATTATGACTAATATGGGACTATGGGTGCGGGCGTGAAGGAATGTGAAGTGTTGACTTGTCTTCCACATTGAGGCTCACTTTGTCAAGCAAGCTTATGTAACTTTAGATTTTATCATTTAGCAGTAATATCCTCCATCTTGCTCACTCCCTTTGATAGGAGTAAAAAAATATAAGATATCTTAAGACACTATACCTTGGATTGGCAAGAAGTCTTATCTAAAGCACTAAGATGGCAGATTAGAAGTATAGCCCTTACGTTAGAGAAAGTTGTTCAGATGGTTTTTATTTATACGACTGCTTCATTGTTTAATATACATCTTTCTAAAACAACCTTTGAGAAAACCCAGAATCTATTTTTTAAAGTTTTAAAAACTTGTAATTACACCATGTTGCTTAGTCACAAACAGTTGAAACCTCAAATTGTGTTCTCTGCAATGAAGAAGAGCACAGTTGGAAGAAAAAAAGAGCATGCTGGTGTTTCTGCATTTCTTCTGGATGCAAAGTATATTTGAAGATTTTAAGAGGGAGATTTTTGTGCAAGTGAATATGTCTTACTGATAGCATGTGATGGTGATGCACCACAGCCTTGGCATGCAAACAGGAAGCTGGTTATTTTATTTTAACGTATAAAGGAGTTAGCTGTCTTATTTAAGGGCAAAAGAATTTAGTGAGTCTATATATATTTATGAGAAGACGTGAGAAGGGATATTATTTTTTTTTTGAATTTCTTGTCAATGTGATCATTTATTAAACAGATCCGTAGGTGTCTGTGATTTGAAACATTGCCTTTATAAACTCAACATTCCTTGTAAATATTTTAGTTTAGATACAGATAAAACACCAGGCCTTTGCAAATGTAGCCTAAATAGATGGTTGGTTTTTTGGTTCACTGCATTTATGCTTTAAAATAGTGTAATAATAATAATATTTTTATTATTTCTTACCCGCCTCTCCTTGTGGCTCGAGGTGGATTACAGAATAATTCAAACACATAAACATTGTAAAAATTCCACAAATACGCATATTAAAATGTATTTCTATAAAAGATACATATTTTATGTAATGCGAGGGACATGCCAACAACCCAAACATAGTCTCTTGGAAACATTTATGCTACTTTGATGCATCCCTTTAGCTTGGCACTGAACGTACATACAGTCATTTGGAGTGTCTCGGGTTTTACTACTTTCCTAAGAGGCAGCCATGTTAGTCCCTTGCTGCAGAACCAACAAAGTCTTGTGGCACTTTAAAAAACAAGCTTATTCATTATAGCATGAGCATTTGTGGACTACAGCCCACAAAGACTCATGCTATAATGATTTTTTCATATTTACATTTTTTTTTCAGGACTCATACTGGTTTTATTGTTTTGCTGAATCAAAATTCATTTTACTACAGCTGCATTTAATTGCATGAGAAATAATCGAACTGGAATAGGTTGCTTTTCAAATGTTCCATTTTTAAAATACAGTTTTGTATAAATCACTGTGGTTTTTCCTAATGGTCAGGTACTAACTACCATTGATTTTCTGTAGATACAACAAGAGCCAGAACTTAAAATTGCCTGGCCATCTACTAAGGTCTAAACTTTTGTATACAAGAGGATCCAAAGTGTTTCTTATGGATTATGTCTGCTTGTAAATGTTAATGTAAGGGTCTATTCTTATGAAATGTTTGTTGAGGTCAGGGTAACATTTGTCCTTTAGGTATCAAGTGTTATGGCAGCTCAGATAATTTCTGGTATTAATGATATTGCTTCACCAGTGACTGCTGCCTAAAACAGAGCATTTTAACATTGTGGTCTTCCCAGCAATAATTGAGACTTATTGTGTGTGTAACATTGCCTTGTTCTTTGTGTGGAAAATGAGAATCACCATATTACAATCTTGGATGGAGTTGACCAACTCTGCATCGACTTTAAACATCTTTGTTTTAATAAGATAAGCGCATTTGCCCCAATCCAGGGGCTCCATGTTCCTTGAGCTTTTCATATGCAAAAGCGATGTATTTTCTTCAGTGTAGTGGAATGCTCTACGCATGCACTTAGGAACTGCTTGGCATCTTGGGGGATATATATTTATATAAAGCATGGAATATTTACAAAAAACAAAGAGACCTGAAGTCAATTTTTGTTCTAAAGGCGAAAATCTCTTAAGTTTTATTTGTCTCTTGAAGCTATACAGCATGATTTTGATGACTGTGTTCTCATGTTTTAAATACAGGTGACCTTATTGAATTGTTGTTGTTTTCTGTCATCGTAAAACAAATGTTGTACTTTTATACTGTTGGACTCAGAGCAATACTAGACATTTTCATGAATTCTATTACCGATGATGTGCCTGAAATACAACTTCATCATCTTCAATCAATAAATTATTGACATAATCTCTTGAAAATCTGCTTTTGTAAAATGCGTACACTTTATACGGAACACAAATTAGTCATCTTCAGAAAAATGGTGAAGACTTAATACACTTGCATGATTCACTGTCACATTCAGATAAGTAAAAAAGTGAAAGATGTCTCAACTAAAGCTTTTGTTGCAGGAAAAAAAATGAAGCACAGTGATGTCAAATCCTTTCATATTATTATGCCAGTCATCTGAACCCTAGTGTGTACCTTTGTAACCGGGACATAAAAACTTGCCTTGCGCCATCAGTTATTTTTCATTATTTGAATGCTGAGCAAAAGTTTGAGGTCTAAAGCCAATCGCTAATCCTTATCAGAGAGAATCTACTGAATTAATGAAATTCACATAAGATGTTCTACCGTTTAATAATTGGTGTCTTTTGGTTTAAACTGCCCATTGGTTTATATTATTTTTGCAACAACAGTCTCAAAATACAATATCAAACAAAAGTGGCTGATGCCTTCTGTATAAGAGCAGTTTTTAATGACACGACATTGAATTAGTAAATCAGCATATTTGTAAAACAAAGATGAATATAAGTGTTTGTTTAATTTTATTATTTAATGTTGTATACACTTTTAAATGTTCTATTTGCAAGCATATAATCAAAATAATTTGTGAAGTGGAGTGGGAAGGTGAGAAGTATTTAAGTCAGTGAGAAGTAGCAAATGTGTTAGGATGCAAAATCTTATCCCCGCCTACTAATTTCCTTGGAAATGCAAATTCTTTCTGCCCTCTTTTTCTTGTTTACTACCAATCATTGAGAGCAACTGGGGAAATAAGTGTTAAAACAACTTATTGGAGAAGTAGGGAGAATTGAGCACGTGGAAGAATTATACCACTTTCTGATTTCCCCTGCAAATACTGTGTCCCTGCATTAGAGTTACATGGACAACAGGGCTAAGAACTAAGGTGTTGCCTTTTATTGTGTAGTAGTCTTGTGCACGGATTTGGTTGGCCGGTTTCCTTCAGCCAATCCAGCTTGTTCGGCTGGCCATAAAAGTAAGGGCTCTGCTGTCATTATTTATTTATTTATTTATTTATTTATTTAATTGTCTGAAATGGGCCACATGGCAACCGGTCACGGCTCCTTCTCTCCTATTCGGCATCACGCAGCGCAAAGAGGCTTCCGCGTGCTTGCACAGGGTTTCCCTGTGAGCCCTGCCAGTTGGGCCAAACAGAATTAAAAAATGCTGTGACGTGTTTTACTCTATTTAATGGGACGAGTGCCTCCATTGCTCTCGATTGCGTCCTGGTTCTAGAGAGTTTTCATGTTCAAGCTGTCCTTTTATGTGGGGTTTTTCTGGGTTATTACATTTGTACTTGTTGTTATTGAGGCATTGAATGTTTGCATTTTTGTTTATTGGAATGCACTCTGATTCCCCCTGGGGATATAGGGCAGAATATAAATAAAGTTGTTGTTGTTGTTGTTATTATGCTAATGAACCCAGAAGTAATATATACAGACCCTAACTCAAAATTCACAGTATGAATAAAACCATATAAACGTATGTGCTGGTTTTGGCCAACACACACTTCTTTCAGAGAGTTGGACTAAATTTTTCCTTTATTTTCTGGTTCGCGGTTTCCAAAACGGTTTTTTTAAATGTAGGTGATGCTAAAACTATATCATCAATTCTTTTCTCAGTATTTGGTTTTTAAACCAGGCAAAGTTTGAAAGTCTGTAGATAGTTAACCATTATGCAGTCTGCTGCACCAAAACGGTTTTTGTGAAGAAAAGGTTTCTTCATTAGACATTAGAACCCATTGAAATCAAAGGAAACACATTCATCACATTGGAGCCTTTGGTGGCACAATAGATTAAACCCTTGTGCTGACAGGACTGCTGACCGAAAGATCGCTGATTTGAATCTGGGGAGCGGGGTGAGCTCTCATCTGTCAGTTCCAGCTTCTCATGCGGGGACATGAGAGAATCCTCCCACAGGATGGTAAAACATCCGGCATCCCCTGGACAACATTCTTGGAGACAGCCAATTCTCTCACAGAAGCAACTGGTTTTAAATTGATTGTAAAAGTTTATGCCTATGTTTTTGTTTTATATTGTATGCTTTTGTATTATTTTGCATATGTGGAAACCCCTCTGAGTTCCCTAGGAGAGATAGGGCTGTATACAAATAAAGTTATTATTATTATTATTATTATTATTATTATTATTATTATTATTATTATTATCTTGCAGTTTCACAAGTCCCTCCTGACACGAAAAAACAAAACAAAACATTGAAATCAAGGTGCATGCCATTCATTACTGCACAAAAGGTCACAATAATTATAGTGATTAAAAACAAAATTGCCATCCACCTCTTGTCCCAAGCAAAGAGATTTTTTCCTATGGCCACCCTTAGGTTCATCTTTGGGATGGTGGCAATAGGGAAAATGGACAGATTGTTTTACAATTAAGGTAATTCAATCGATACTTTCCATGGTTTTTGTTCTTGTTACAGAGCTGAGTTACTCAGGATATTGGCTACTGTGGGCACCTTTATTGGTTGTTCCATATAATACTTAAATTGGTTGCTTGAAAAGATTTTTTTTTTAAAAAAAAAGACTTTGAAATAAGGATTCTAACAATATGTATGCTTCTTCAACCAAATAATGGTTTACTGTCCTTTCAAATGCTTGTGTGTATAGTCACACAAAACTTTTTTCCAGTTTCAGTTTTCAGGAATGTTCATATTTTTGTTTCCTTGAAAGAAGTGTACCTACAAGAGTTTCTTTCTTGGCTAATTGAAGGATCATAGCGTTTTTCTTCACAGCAGAGCAGTGAAGTTATAGGCTGGCAAAGGTGTATGTCTTACACAAGCAGAGCATTCACACATCTCTTCAAACTTTGAATTTTATATTTTCAAACAGTGCCTTTCCTTATGTTGCTGGCACTGGGAGAATCTGATGAAACCAAGGCTGCAAAACATATTTCCAGTTTTAGGTTACGATGAAATTTTGCAGGGATCAATCATTGTTCCCTGAGTTGAAAAGGATCCCATAAAATCCTGGCCTGATAAAATACAATGGAACATATTAGGAATTGAAGCAATGTTATCTTATGGATAACAAGTTAGGCATCTGCTTTCTGTTTCTGCTCCTGCAAAATAAGTAATTTAAAGAAAACTTCAAAGTATTAAATATTTTCCTAAATGCAATTTGTTTCATAAAGATCAAGTAGACAGAACAAATTGTAAAGAACAAAAATAACTTTCTGGCCTTGCATTGCACATTTTAGTGCAAATATTAAGACACAAATAGTGTTCAATTCAGCAAGTATTGCAGAATGTCATGCCACAGTCCACTTCAAAAAGGGTTGCATAGATAGAAACATTGAAACATGGCTAAGAAATAAACATTGTTAAAACAAAAATTCACGAGAACTAATTGTGTGATTAGTGGGTGAGATAAATACTGAGAAGATTCAAATCTCTAAGCCACACAGCTCACCTCTTTTTATTTTGTCAGAAGCCACTTGAGAACATACTGCAAGTTGCTTCTGGTGTGAAAGAATTGGCCATCTACAGAGACATTGCCCAGGGGATGCACAGATGTGTTACTACTCTGCTGGGAGGCTTCCCTCACGTCCCTGCAAGCTAGAGCTGACAGATGGGAACTAACCCCGTCTTGCAGATTCGAATGAGCAACCTTCGGGTCAGCAGTCCAGCCGGCACAAGGGTTTAACCCATTGCTCCACTGCACAATGCTCAGTGAGTGAATCTTAACCAACAATAATTTCTCAGCTTGACTGACCTAGAAGTTTGTTGCGGAGACACAAATGTATATACTACTCTCAGGTCAGAACATACAATGAATAAATAAAATAGCATGACCATCTTTGCCATCCAACGATTCACGAAGATGCCACTAATTTGTGATGAGGTCACCAATTTGTAAACGTTTGTAAAGGAGCCACCACTCTGTAAGGGCTTATTAAATTGATAGCGTAGCTTATCACTCTGGACCGTGCTCTTACCTACAAGAAGCATTTCCTGAACATCAAGCAAAAAGTGGGTGCTAGAAACAATATCATACGAAAGCTGACTGGCACAACCTGGGGTTCACAACCAGATACAGTGAAGACATCTGCCCTTGCGCTGTGCTACTCCGCCGCTGAGTATGCATGCCCAGTGTGGAACACATCTCACCACACTAAAACAGTGGATGTGGCTCTTAATGAGACATGCCGCATTATCATGGGGTGTCTGCGCCCTACACCACTGGAGAAATTACACTGTCTAGCCGGTATCGCACCACCTGACATCCGCCAGGAAGTGGCAGCTAATAATATTGATTTGGTCTTTCTTCTGTGTAGCGAGACTTAAATTGGAAAAGAATTGTATCCGAGACAAGGCTTTAGGAAAAACAGTAACAAGTTTATTGAAATGTGGAAGGAGCGTGATGGTTTCAATGTAACATAACTCTTAGAGGCACAAATCTTCAAAGCTTACATTTATAACATTCCTTAAACAACTCTGGGAAGGTCACTTCCTTCCACTAAACAGGTTTCAAACTTATATTTCTTTAAACTGTGTTTTTTTCCTTAATAGGTTACTTCAGTTACAAGCTTATTCTTTCTTTGTGATGTTTCTGTTGCAATAGAGATCCTCACTGGGATTCTCTCACCCTTTCTCTCATTCACTAACTATTAATATAATTAAGTCAACTCGACTTATTTAAACTACTCAGGCTAAGAGCCAAAACCTTCCCAATTCTCACTGCTATAGAATCAGCCTTTACCTGTAGTTTTTAAACTACAGATTACCTTCCTGGTTCTCACTACTCAACAGAACCAGCCACTCCTACAGTTCAAAGACTGTAGACTGTTTTAAAATGGCTGCCCTGCCAAGTGGCACTTGGCTCCGCCCCTGTTTCCATGGTAACCCAGCTCAACATGAGCTGAGCTGGCTACCATCCCCCTTTGTTATGCAACTTAAATACTTACTCTTTAAAACATCTATCTATAATTATA